AACTGTCTTGCTGGAGAAGGATTTAGTTTGCCCACCAAGGAGTTCAGTGAAAGTGTTTGTAAATGGAATATGTGGAGACTATATAGAGTCATACAGCATGGAAACAGACACTTTGGTTCAATTCGTCCATGCCAGCCGAGTTTCCCAAACTAAACTAGCCCCACTTGTCTGCATTTGGCCCTTATCCCTCTAAGCCTTTCCTATTCATGTACCTGTCCAAATGTCTTTGAAATGTTGTAACTGTACCTGCAATCTACCATTTCCTCTGGCAGTTCATTTCAAATATGAACCAACCTCTGTGTGAAAAGTTGTCCCTCGGGTCCCTTTTAAATTTTTCTCCTCTCAGCTTAAAAATATGCCCCCTGGTTTTGAACTTCCCCACCGTAGGGAAAAGACCTTTGCTGTTCATTTTGTCTATGTCCCTCATGATTTCATAAACTTCTATAAGGTCACCCCTCAACCTCCTACATGCCAGTGAAAAAAGTCCCAGCCTATCTAGCGTCTCCTTATAACTCAAACCCTCCATTCCCACTTCATTCTAATAAATCTTTTCTGAACTCTCTCCAATTTAATAATATCCTTCCTCCAAAAGTGGAGTCACCAGCGTCCTGTGCAACCTCAACATGATGTCCCAGCAACTATAATCAAAGGTCTGAGCAATGAAGGCAAGCATGCTAAATGACTTCTTTACCACCCTGTCTACCTGCAACACAACTTTCAAAGAACTATGTACCTGAACCCCTAGGTCTCTGTGTTCAACAACACTACCCAGGGCCCTATCATTAACTGTATGAGTCCTGCCCTCCTTCATTTTACCAAAATGCAAAACTTCATATTTATCCAAATTGAACTCCATCTGCCATTCCTTAGCCGATTGACCCAATTGATGTACAAACAAAATGTGATACGGGAATTGGTAAAAGGAGTTAACAAAATTCATGCTGTTCTCCTATTCAGGTCTCATGTTGCACTCACAGTTCTTAGCTGGAAAGTTAAATAGGAAAGAGTATAGGTCAATTAGCCTCTCAATCCTGTTTCATTTATCTCTCTTCATGTGTAGAAGTGTTTTTTAACTTCTCTCCTGAACGGTCTGCCCCTAATTTTTAAACAATGTCACCTAATTGTAGAATCTGCAACCAGTGGAAATAGTTTATCTTTATCTACTCTGTCTTTTCTTATTAATATCTTGAAGACTTTGATCAGATCACCCCTTAACCTTCTAAATCCTAGAGAACACAAGCCTAATTTGTAAAATCTCTCTTCATAACTTAAACCCTGAAGTCCAGGTATCATTCTTGTAAACCTATGTTGTACTCCCTCCCGAGGCCAATATATCCTTCCTAAGGTGGTGCCCAGATCTGTTCACAGTACTCCAAATGGAGTCTAACTAGGATTTTGTATAACTGCAACATAACTTCTGTTTCTGCATCCTTCTACTCCAGTCCTCCAGTTATAAAGGCCAGCATTCCATTACTTTTCTTGACTATTTAGAGGGGAGGTGATGGCCTAGTGGCATTATTGCTAGACTATTAATCCGGAGACTCAAATAATGTTCTGGAGACCCAGAATTGAATCCCACCACAGCAGATGGTGGAATTTGAATTCAATTTTTAAAAATCTGGAATTAAGAACCTACTGATAACCTTGAAACCATTGTCAGAAAAACCTATCAGGTTCACTAATATCCTTCAGGGAAGAAAATTGCCATCCTCACCTGTTTTGGCCTAACTGTGACTCCAGACATAGACCAATGTGGTTCATTTTCAACTGCTGTCTGAAATGGCCTAGCAAGCCATTCAGTCACTACGAAGTCTCAAAGAAATGGAATCGGATGGACCACCTGGGATCAACCTAGGCACCAGAAGAGACAATGCAGAAACAGCCCTGTCAACCTGCAAAGTCCTCCTCACTAACATTTGGTGGCTCGTGCTAAAATTGGGAGAGCTGTCTCACAGACTAGTCAAGCAACAGCCTGACACATACACACAGAACCATACCTTGCAGACACTGTCCCAAATATCACTGTCCCTAGATATGTCCTATCCCTCAAGCAGGACAGACCCTGTAGAGATGGTAGCATAGCGGTATACAGTCAGGAGGGAATTGCCCTGGGTATCCTCAACGTTGAGTCCAGATCCCATGAAACCTCATGGCTTCAGGTTAAACATGAAAACCTCCTGCTGATTACCACATACCATGCTCCTCTGCTAATGAATCAATACTCCTCCATGTTGAACAACACTTCCAGGAAGCACTGATGATGGTGAGGGTGCAAAATGTACTCTGGGTGGGGGATTTCAATGTCCACCACCAAGAGTGGCTCGGCAGCAGCAGTACTGATTAAGCTGATTGGGTCCTAAAGGACATAACTGCTAAAATGGGTCTGCAGCAGGTGGTGAGCAAACCAACAAGAGGGAAAAACATACTTGACCTCATCCTCACCAATTCCCCAGCTTCAGATGCATCTGTCTGTGACAATATTAGTAAGAGTGAATACCACACAGTCCGTTTGGAGATAAAGTCCCACCTTTGCATTGATAGTAACCTCCATCATGTTGTGTGGCACCATCACTGCGCTAAGTGGGACAAATTTTGAACAGATCCAGCAACTCAAGACTTGGCGTCCATGATGCATTGTGGACCATCAACAGCAGCAGAATTGTACGCCAGTAACAAACTACAAACTCTTTGACAGGCATACCCCCACTGAACCATTACCATCAAGCCAAGGCATCAACCTTGGTTCAATGGAGAGTGCAGGAAGGCATGCCAGGAGCAGCACCAGGCATACTTAAAAATGAGGTGTCAACCTAGCGAAGCTACCAAACAGGACTACTAGTGTGCCAAACAGCATAAGCTGCAAATGATAGAGCTAAGAGATCCCACAACCAACGGTTCAGGTCTAAGGTCTGTAGTACTGCCACATCCAGTCGGGAATAGTGGTAGGCAGTTCATTCCTGCAGAGGCTGTGGAGGCTAAGTCATTGAGTGTATTTAAGGCAAAGATAGATAGGTTCTTGATTGATAAGGGGCTCAAGGCTTACAGGGAGAAGGCAAGAGAATGGAGTTGAGAAACATATCAGCCATGATCGAAAGGCAGAGCAGACTTGATATGCTGAATGACGTAATTTGGCTCCTCTATCTTATGGTCTTATAGGAGAGTGTAAGAGGAGTAGACTCTAGGCAGTCAGGGCTCAGAGGTCCTAGGATCCAGTAGACTCAGGTAAAAGTTGGGGTTGGGGATCAAAAACCTGTCTGGAGAAATTAAGCCTTAGAAGAAGCTCTGGAACTTCAGTGCAGCTGATAATACAGGTGAAGGAAGCCCATGAGCAGTATTTTCTTGGTGTAGCTGAGAACTAGTGGAGCTCAAAGAAACCTAGGGTTATTAGCAACCAAGTGAAGCTGTGTCTGAACGAACTAGAATTGTGCCCATGAGTAGATGCTGTAGTAGTCTCAAGAATCTTGTGGAATACAATTTCGGAGAAGGAGATTGAGCAACCAAGTAGTCATTGTGGCAGTCTATGACTAAGTGAGTGGGTTTTGAAGGAGTTTCAAGGCTAGCTCTTCATACATGAAGAACTGGAATCCCTTCTAAAAGAGACACGTTTTCCCTGAGATTTTGTGACCTGCTGTGGAGAAGTGTAAAAATCCTTGATCAATAGGGGAATTGAGTGTTTCAGGGAAAGGGCAGGAAAGATCTTATTGAATTTGAACATAGACTGCCTGTCTCTGAAGAGTCATGAATGGTGCTGACGTTGTGCAATCATCGGCGAACATCTCCAGTTCTGAGCTTATGATGGAGGGAAAATCATTGATGTCTGACTGAAGATTTCTGTGAATGCTTCAGCCTTATCTTTTGCACTCATGTGCTGGGCTCTTCCATCATTGAGGATGGGGATAATTGTAGAGCTGCTTCCTCCTGTGAGTTGTTTAATTGTCCATCACCACTTACAGCTGGATGTGGCAAGACTGTAGAGCTTAAATCTGATCCACTGATTGTAGGATTGCTTAGCTCTGTCTGTTGCTTGCTGCTTGTCCTGTTTGGTAGCTTCACCAGGTTGGCTCCTCATTTTTCAGGTATGCCTAGTGCTGCTCCTGAGATACCCTTCAGCACTCTCCATTGAACTAGGGTTGATCCCTTAGCTTGATGGTAGTGGTTGAGTGGGGAACATGTTAGGCTATGAGGTTGCAGATTGTTACTGGTACAATTCTGCTGCTGATGATGGCCCATAATGCCTCAAGGATTGCCACTCTTGAGTTACTAGATCCGTTCAAAGTTTGTCCTATTTAGCACTGTGATTGTGCCACACAACATGATGAAAGTTAATATCAAACTGAAGGCGGGACTTCTTCACCAGAAGAACTGTGTGGTAGTCACTCTTACCAATACTATCATGGACAGGTGCATCTGCAGCCAGCAAATTGGTAAGGATGAGGTCAAGCATGTTGTTCCCTCTTGTTGGTTCCCTCACCAACTGCTGCAGACCCAGTTTAGCAGCTATGTCCTTTAGAACCCAACCAGTTTGATTAGTAGTACTGCTGCTTAGCCACCCCTGGTGGTGGACATTGAAATCCCCCAGCCTGAGAATGTTTTGTGCTTTTGCTATCCTCGGTGTTGCTATAGTTTTGTCTATCAATGCCTGTTTATAATTTTATGCTGTTATCTACGTTTGTGTACGATGCCGCCTAACTTTGTGTCATCAGTAGATTTGGATATATGACTCTGTCTGCCATTATCCAAGTTTTCATTAAATAATGTGAATAATTGAGACACTAATACAGATCCTTGTGTGACTCCAATGGTCATATCCTGCTAAATTGAGCACCTACCCATAATGCCTGCCACTCAACAGATTTCCCAGCCAAATCAATAGTTGCCTTCAATTCCATGGGCTTCTACCTTCATTAATGGTTGAATAGGAATCCTGCAAAGTGGAAGAGGTCTAACAAAGAATAAGGTTCTATTATGTGGTTCATACATCATTGTATTTTGTTTTCCAGTGTACCGCAAAGTGTGCAGAACGGGTTACTGTGACCAGAGAAGTAAGATGCTCAAAGGAAGAGTGGTTGTGTGATGAGAAAACAAAGCCACCATCTCAGAAAGATTGTGTTGGACCCCCTTGTGATCGACAGTGGACTGTGTCAGACTGGGGCCCAGTAAGTCCAGCTGCAGAACAGCTTGCACAACTTCTTATTTTCTCCTTTCATCTTGTTCACATAAGTGATCTTTTAACTGAAGAAATTAAAATCCGAAAGAGAAGCAAACATCCATGTCACAACTTAACCATGTTAACTAGTCAGAATGTAAACAATGCTATCGTTAAAAAAAATTAAAGCATATTGAACCCGGAAAAGCAATTAAGACCATATCACTGAATGTGTATCCTTTCTAACACCAGTAAAAGTGTGGGATGCTGAATGTAACTGCCATCCCAGAAGGAAAAGCCAGTTTAGCCACCCTGCATGAAAATGTTGTTAACTGTGTTTTGAGACCTGTTAAAATAGTTCATTCTAATTGCCAGGTAGTTATTGCTTCCAGTTGGCAACAATTGCCAATAGTTGCTATATGATTGGTGATTACTGGTCAGAATCTGTATATCCCAGCTACTGAAGATCTTGACTTGTTCTCAGTTGGTTGCTGACTGGTGTTCATGTACCATTTGTAAGCATTTGCTTCCAGTTGTTGGGCAGCTTTTTGTTCCTCCTTGGAAAGAATTATTCATTAGTTGTTGCCAGGTTGACAAGTACCAGTTGTAAGCTGTTGATCCTGGTTACCAGACAGTTAAATTTTCCCAATTGGAAACACCTGACATTTGTTACTTGCTGATCAGCTGTTATCAGTTTGAAACAGTCAAAAAAAGTTGTCTTTTTCCAGCTGGCAAAACGGTTGTCACCTGTGGTTTCTTGCTATCCAGTTGAATTTAGCTTCTATAAAGGGAATTAGCGAGCCCACCTCTAACAAATTAAGGCTTGTGCATCATTGTCATTTATGTGTGCAATTGTGAAACCTCATGAAGAAACAGATACTGACTAGCTCTAAGTTTCAAACCTTTATTTGGAAAATTCAATTAAATTAAATGTTAGCTAAATCTTAAAATAAACACTTTTTAACAAAATTTACATACATCTTATTTCTACTCTATGAAATGTTTCTTGTTAAAGTCTTGTATTCTATCAGATGTTTTTCATCCTCACTACGTATTTTGTCACTTCTTCCACACTTAGCCCAAGGTGCAGAGTTAGTGGATAATGCGCACTATTGGGTGCAGGAAATAAAATACACAAAGACAAGGATTTCCACTGAATTTGTTCAGTCAAGAAAAGAAATTCTAAAAAAAGTACAGTATTATCTCAAGGCAGAAGCAAACTTGTTTCCTAATTTCTTCACAAATTTTTGCAAAGACGTAAAGATCAGTTCTTTAACTGCCCAGTGGCTACATAAAAGCAAAACTTTATGGAGTGACTCTCTCATTCTTAGTCTTGCTGTCTCTCAATCTAGCCCAGATTCTCCATAATTTTTCTTTTTTCAGTAATGCAACTGTGTAATGTCAGACAGTAGTGTAGATTGTTTGGTCAACTGCATTCCCATAATGATGCCAGGACAACATTAGACAGCTCTAAGGTTTTGGAGTAGATCTGTAGCTCGGGTTGTGGGTGTTGAGGTTGGTTGGCTTGCCAAGCTGGTTTGTTGTTTTGCAGACGTTTCGTTACCACGCTTGGTAACATCCTCAGTGCAGCCTCCGATGAAACATCGGTGTGTTTTCCCGACTGGTTTTTAAACTCTGGGGTCCGTTGAAATGGATTGCCTCACTTCCGGTTTTCCTTCGTAGTGGAATGTATGTGGGGCCAAGTTCAATGTGTTTATTAATAGCATGCTTCGTAGAGTGCCGTGCTTCCAGGAATTCTCGTGCTTGTCTCTGCCTAGCCTGTCCCAGGATCTTGGTGTTGTCCCAGTTGAAGTTGTGCTTCTCCTTGTCCATGTGGATTGAGATGAGTGAGTATTGGTCGTGTCTTTTTGAAGCCAGTTGGTGTTCATGTTCTCTTGTTGTTAGTTTCCTTCCTGTTTGTCTGATGTAGTGTTTCTCGCAGTCTGTGCAGGGGATTTTGTGGATGACATTGGTCCTGTCCATGGCGGGGAGTGGGTCTTCATTTCAGGTGAGCAGTTGTCGTAAGGTTGATGTGGGCTTGTGTGCCACTCTGATGCCCAGCAGTCATAGGAGTCTTGCGGTCAGTTCCGACGTGTTCCTGATGTAGGGTAGTGAGATGAGTGTGTCAAGGCTTGTAGAATCTTTCTGATGCTGTTCTTGTAGGGATCTTCTGACCCAGTTCTTTGGATATCCATTATCCTTGAACACTTGGAAGAGGTATTCTTCTTCCTCCTGGCGTAGTTCTGTGTTGCTGCAGTGTGTTGTTGCCCTTTTAAATAGTGTTTGCACGCAGCTTCGTTTGTGTGTGCTGGGATGGTTACTATTGAAGTTCAGTACCTGGTCTGTGTGTGTGGCTTTTCGGTGTACTTTCTTTTGCGGTTCCCCGTTTTGTCTTGCGCTCTACCATGACATCCAGGCATGAGAGCAGTTTGTCCCTCTCCTCCCCTCTGGTGAATCTTATTCCGGTGAGGGTGTTGTTTATAAGTTTGTGTGTCTCTTCTAATTTGGTCCGTTTAATGATGACAAAGGTGTCGTCTACGTAGCGTATCCACAGTTTAGGTTGGATTTGTGGAAGGGCGGTCCTTTCCAGTCTTTGCATCACTGCTTCTGCTATGAGTCTGGAAATAGGTGATCCTATGGGTGTCCCATTGATTTGCTCGTATGTTTGGCCATTGAAGGTGAAGTGGGTGGTCAAGTATAGGTCCAAAATTAGACAACAAAATGACAGAGCTGGAAGGAAAGCATGCTACAAAGCTAAGCACTTGGATCAAGTGTGTATCAGTATTAGGATACCTAGCAGTCCTCACTTTATCATCTCAGCCAATGATAATCCCAGACAACTCGGATCCCAGAGTGATACCTAAGTTACTTTCGTTTTTGCTGTTTGTTTACTTTTTGGCCATGATGTGGAGGAGCCAGCGTTGGACTGGGGTGAACAAGATCAGAAGTCACATGACACCAGGTTATGGTCCAACAGGTAGCTTTCAGTGTGTCCTGAAAGCTTGTGTCTTCAAATAAACTGTTGGACTATAACCTGGTGTCATGTGACTTCTGACTTTGTTTACTTTGTGGTCAGTCACTGAATTATTCACAAGTGGTTGCCAATATACTTTCAACAGAAGAAAGTAAGTGTGTAGTACACAAACAAAAGAGAAAAAGCAGCTATCCCCTCACCAAGTCATCTTTTATATACAGGTGCATGGTATTGACACTGGTCCGGCTCCCTCAGAGCCCCAGCTCTCCGAGTAAACAGAACTTCTGACACTCCTGTTTATATCTGTCAGCCTGGGCTCCCTGATTGGACCAAGTTAAGAGCCCACATCAGGGAACTCATTTTATGAGGTCCACCTGACTGACCTTGTTACAATCATTGCAGCCCTCCCTCTCTAAGTCCCAGGACGTAGGTCTGTTCTGTTTCTTGTAGCCTCTCCTGGGGCGTTTTTGCTCTGGGTCCAGTTCCTCTGATTCAATCTCGGATATGGGCAGTGTGTACTGGACCGTAGACCACCTCTTGCACCTGGAGTGTCACGGAGGAAATTCGTCGTGTTCTTCAGGCAGTAAAGACGTCAAGGCTGCGACATCTGCCATGCCCAACTAGGAGATGTTAGATGGAGGGGGAGAACACACGGGTTCCAAAAGCCTTTCCAGCTGTTCTGCGGGGTCGGGTCTGTTTTGTTCGTGTCCCATTTGTGAACTTGCAGAGTTGATGTAGTCCATGTGATTGTTTAGGACGATCTCACCTACCTGAACTTTGTACGTCACAGGACCTGACCTCGCATCAGCCATGTCTTTTATCCATGCAGGACCATTTGTGATTTTGACACCAAACTTCATCCCTGAAGTAAACGGTCTCTCTCACTTAGCAAAATCCTGTGTATGGTGTTGGCATTCCTGATGCCCACCCCCAGCCCAGATCCTGGAATGTCAGATTTAACTTGGTGTGGTTTCTTCTCCTCATTAGCAACTCTGCTGGAGCTATCCCTGAAGTTGCAAGAGAAATGGTCCAATAATCAAATAGGAACCAAGACAGTCAAGCTGTGGGCTATTTCTTTAAGTCTGCCTTCAAAACTTGCACTGCTCTTTCTGCCAGACCATTCAATGATAGATGGTATGGCGCTGGCCTTATATACCAAATACCGTTCGACTTTAGGAAATACTTGAATTCCCTGCTGGTAAATGATAGCCTGTTGTTTGTGACCAACACTTCCAGGAGCCTATGTATTGCAAAAGATGCTGGCAACTTTTCTATCATTGCCCTCTTGTTTGATAAATAAACACTATGAATGTCCAACCACTTTGAGTGGGCATCCACAGTGACTAAGAATGTTGACCTCATGAAAGGGTAGGCATAGTCAACGTGTAACCACATCCAGGGCTTACGCAACCATTCCCACAAATGTGGGCGAGCTATGGTGGTGAATTTTATCCTTGTTGGCACTCTGGGCACTGCCCCACCAACATGGCTATGTCTGCATCCCATCCTTGTCACCACTGAAATAACTCCACGGGGCTGGTATCCCACCATCAAGTCACCCTCTATTTACACGTCCATAGCACTTGACACTGGTCTGCCTTCCTCACACCCAGCTTTCAAAGTGAGCAGAACCTCTGACACTCCTGTTTATATCTGTCAGCCAGGGTTTCCTGATTGGACCAGGTAAACAGCATCAATCAGAAAACTCATATTCTATGAGATCCACCTGGCTGATCTCGTTACAATCAATACATAAAGATTCAACTCTTTTACCCTCAATGACAATTTTGTAGGCATCCAAACCTTAGTGAATGGTGACCTTGTCTCGACAGTACAGTTACTTGTTCTATTGGCACAGCTGTCATGAGTTTCTTTTTGGGCATTTGCTCCATGCTATTTTCATTAGTTAATGTCTCTTCCATGAAACCCTTAAACAAACTACTCACATAATATTTAACAAGGGTTTCTTCAACTTAGGTTTCCTCAGCTTTCTGTTTCTGGAGTTTTCTTCTGTGCAAATGAAAACTTTTCACCAGTCCTATCTTGTTTTTAACAGCACTCAGCTGCTTTAGACTTGTTGTTGTGACTGAAAACCTGCGCGTTGCCTCTTATTCTGATTCTTATTTTCTGTGCCACTGAATTCCTGTCACTAGGTAACAGAAAGTCAACTTTGTGTATTTTTTCTGATGTTATTACTATCAGAAGAATTGCCATGTGTTTATCAATAATAAATAAAGCACATTCTTCTTTGGGAAATTGAATTAATAATACCTATGATCATTGTTTAATTTTATGAAGTTTTAATTTATATTTGAAGTTCCTCATGCAATAATCTACAAATAGTATGTTACCAATACTGTTGGAAGAAATTGAGGCATTATCTACCAAGGGTTTTCAAAGACATTATTTAAATGCATATCAGCAAACAAATTTACAGACACCCCGGCTGTACTGTCAAAACTGATAAATGAAACTAATACAATGGAAAAAATCTTACATTTATTTAGCTAAGTCTGTGTTGTATTGAGTCTTTGAGAATTTGTCATTGCGGAACCTTGTGAGTTTGCTTACCTCATCTCATCAAACTCGCCACGTTAATTGCTTACCCCACCCCTGTGGTGTGTCTCATGTACATCTCCACCCTATTTCAACATGCACCCTTCCCAACTTGGCGCTCAGCAGATATCACTGAAACGCCACCATCCCTCGGGTCAGTGCGCTCAGACAAGTAGTGACACTCCAAAGCTGCCGTGCACATTGAAGGATTTGTCCACAAGATGTTAGAGAAAGCAAAGATGGCACTCTGATTCGTCAACAGGGATCTGGAGGTTCTGGTGGATGGGTGGTGCAAAGGAGGGTTGTCCTCTCTCTGAAGACCAGCAGAGTCACTCCACCTCCATCCTACCTAACTCTTCCAACCCTTGGAACTTCAAGTTGAGCAGGGTCAAATGGCAGATGGTGTTGCATTTTGGTTAACAAATGAGGACAGGACTTAATACAATTAATGATAGGGCCTTAGCGAGTGTTGTAGAACAGAAGAACCTATGGGTGCTGGCCCATAATTCTTTGAAGTTTGCATCACATATAGACAGGTGGTTAAAAAGGCATTTAACACACGCCTTAATTTCTCAGTCCTTTGAGCATAGGAGTTGGGAAGTCGTGTTGAGGTTGTATAGGACATTGGTGAGGCCTCTTCTGGAATACTGTTTCCTGTTCTGGTCACTCAATTATAGGAAGGATATTATTAAACTGGAGAGGGTTCAGAAGAGATTTACCAGTATGTTGCCAGGTATGGAAGGTTTGAGTTATAAAGAAAGGCTGGACAAGCTGGGACTTTTTCACTGGAGTGTAAGCGGTTGAGAGGCGACCTGATAAAAGTTTATAAAATAATGAGGGGTGTAGATAGAGGTAACGGTAATTGTCTTTTTCCCTAGGAAGGGGGATTTCAAGACTAGGGGCACATTTTTAAGGTGAGAGGAGAGAGATTTAAAAAGGACATGGGGGAAAAGTTTTTACACAGGCTGGTTTGCATGTGAAATGAACTTTCTGAGGAAGTGGTAGATGTGGGTACAGTTACAACATTTAAAAGATATTTGAAGAAGTAGATGAATTGGAAAGGTTTGGAGGGATATGGGCCAGAAGCAGGCAGGTAGGACGAGTTTAGTTTGGGATTACGGTCGACATGGTGGCACAGTGGTTAGCACTGCTGCCTCACAGCACCAGGGACCTGGGTTCGATTCCAGCCTCGGGCGACTGTCTGTGTGGAGTTTGCACATTCTCCCTGTGTCTGCGTGGGTTTCCTCCGGGTGCTCCGGTTTCCTCCCATAGTCCAAAGACGTACAGGTTAGGTGGATTGGCCATGCTAAATTGCCCGTAGTGTTCAGGGAGGTAGAGGGTATATATTAGGTGGGTCATAGGGGAATGGATCTGGGTGGGATGTTCTGAGGTTCGGTGTGGACTTGTTGGGCCGAAGGGCCTGTTTCCACACTGTAGGGATTCTAATTCTAACTCCCGACATGGACTGGTTAGACCAAGAGGTCTGTTTCCATGCTGTATGACTCTATAATATGCACACCAGGTTTTTATCAAACAAGTAAATAACTATTTATTGCAATGAAACTTTTAACTCATGGCACAAAAATAGATACGTTGAATTGCTCATCCATAATTTCATAACTTAACCACTACCTATTTCAAAACAAAATCCCATACAAATACAAACACACACCAGACACTAATATTATCAGTGGGGAAAGAACGAAGAAGGTCAGTGACGCACAGTTATGGCATGAATCCGGATTACAAGTGTCAATGAGTTGCTTCATTTCAGTTATTGATGGGTTGAGAATTTGACCTTTCCACTTGTCTGAAGGTTGTTTTTTTCCTTTAAAGAAGGGAATTTGCAGACAGCAAGAGAAGCTAGTCATTTGGAATTTTCTTTTACTTCTCCACTCACAGAAGAGAGATGGAGAGGGAGATTTAAGTGCTCTTTCTTTCACAAGCTTCATTGTCCAACCACAAAGCTGTAGTTATTAGCCCAGGAACCAATCAAAAATTTGTTACTTTTCTGAATTTTACTGAGCACACACATAACTGTCCTGATTGAAGAACTAACCAAATGTCTGTCACTGGGCAAAACTGCCCTGATCATTCATCCATTTAGCTGACGTTTCCAGCGTTCTCCTTAAGGTAGCCTTGATGTGGAGGTGCTGGTATTGGACAAGGTCAGAAATCAGACGACACCAGGTTATAGTCCAACAGGTTTATTTGAAATCTCAAGCTTTCTGAGCGTACCCCCTTCGTCAGCTTCTTCAGAAGGGATCCTGACCCGAAACATCAGCTTTCCTGCTCCTCTGATGCTGCTTGGCCTGCTGTGTTCCTCCAGCTCCACGCTGCATTATCTCATCATCATCTAATTTCTGACTGCTTAATTAAGGCAGTGTTACCAATTTAACTCAGCAAATTCCAGTAATTTTTTTTTTAAAAAACCTGTAATGTCTTCTTCCACAGGCCCTTGATTTAAGGAAATATCTTTTCTATTTTTGGAGCATGGACTAAAAAATGGAAGTGGTATTTACATGAATTCTGTGTTAGTTGGGTGGTCCTTTATTTTTAAATGATGTTCCATAGTTCTACTTTCTGCCACTAGGGGGAACATCTTTCAGCATCACCGACAGAATCACAGAACTGTTACAGTGCAAAAAGAGGTAATTTTGATTCCTCATGCCTGCACCGATTCTTTAAATGAGCAATCACTATCTGATTTGATTTATTATTATCACGCGCAGCTAGATACAGTGAAAAGTTTTTTGTTTTGCGTGCAGTACAGGCAGATCATACCATGCAAAGTGCATATGGTAATAGAATAGAGCAAAGAATACAATGTTACGGCTGTAGAGAAGGTGCACAAAGAGAAAGATCAACATTAAATTTAAAATGTGAGAGGTCCGTTCAGAAGTCTAATAACAGCAGGGAAGAAGCTGGTCTTGAATCTATTCATACGTGTATATAAACTTTTATATCTTCTGCCAATTTCCTGATTTTTCTCCTTAGCCTTGCACATAATTTCCATCCAATATTACTATCAGAAGAATTGCCATGTGTTTATCAATAATAAAGCACATTCTTCTTTGGGAAATTGAATTAATAATACCTATGATCATTGTTTAATTTTATGAAGTTTTAATTTATATTTGAAGTTCCTCATGCAATAACTATCTACAAATAGTATGTTACCAATACTGTTGGAAGAAATTGAGGCATTATCTATCAAAATCTGTAATCTGTTACACTGGTATTACATTGATGATTTTTCTCCTGTGTGTTCAGTGCTCAGGGCCTTGTGGGCAGGGAAGAATGATAAGACATGTGTACTGCAAGAACTCAGAAGGAAGGGTAATGCCTGAATCCCAATGTAAACCTCAATCAAAACCCCATGGCATACATCCTTGTGGAGCCAAAGATTGCCCACCTCATTGGCTGGCCCAGGATTGGGAACGAGTAAGTAGAGAAATGTTTCATTTCTGGTTTTTGCATATGTTATCTTTGTATTTTTTCCACATATATATGGCACTACTAAAGTTATCATTGTTACGAAGTGAAGTAACTCCACAGAGACAGGTGTTGCATCACCAAGTCACCCTTTATTTACTCGTGGAAAGTCTTTGACACTGATCCAGCATCCTCAAAGCCAGCTCTCAGCACGAGCATATCCTCTGACATTCCTGTTTGTATCTATCAGCCAGAGCGCTCTCATTAGACCAGATTAACAGGCCCAATCCGGAAACTCATATTCTATGAGGTCCATCTGGCTGACCATGTTACAATCACTACAATTCCTCACCCGAGTCCGAGGACATAGGCTGGTTCTTGTTTGTGTGGCATCTCCTGGGGTGTTTTAGCACCAGGGCATGTTCTTCCACTTCTGCCTGTAATAAGGGCCATGAGGTAGAGGTGTCAAGGTTGGAATGGGGTGGAAAAGGTCAGAAGTCACATGACACCAGGTTATAGTCCAACAGGTTTATTTGAAATCACAAGCTTTTGGAGCACTGCTCCTTTGTCAGGTGAAGTGGAGAGAAACACACAAGCACAGAATTAATAGGCAGAGAGATCAAAAGATCATACAAATGGTGCGAGTGGAGTGGTAACAGGCTGAATAATAAGTCCCTGCAGGCGATCAAAAGTGTCTCACAATGTGAATAAAGTGTCAACAGCTGAATAGCAAGCGAAGGGGTGCCCTATAATCCGATTGAGGCAGAGAGATAATTACAAAAATTAAAAATAATGTGGTGCTGGAGACAAACCAAATGGCTAGAACAACGCGATAGATATGAGTCACATGCTGATGGTCTAACCCAAAGTAACAAGTAATCCAAAACTGTACAAACTAATTAAGGTAGAGAAATCATAACAAGTAATCAAGATGATGGTGCCCAAATAGGACAGTAAGGAAGATTTTACAGATAAAGAACAGTCTGGTGGGGTTACATGTCACGCGACATGAACCTGAGATCACAGTTGAGGCTGTCTTCATGGGTATGGAACTGCATGGTTGTGTATCTCGAAGGCCGCGTTGGAGGACACTTACCGGAAGATCAGAGGTTTAATGTCCTTGACTGCTGAAGTGTTCCCCAACTGTGAGGGAACATTCCTGTCTGGCAATTGTTGCTTGATGTCCATTCATCCGTTGATGTAGCTTCCGCACAGTCTCGCCGATACACTATGCCTCAGGGCATCCTTGCCTCCAGTGTATGAGGTAGACAACATTGGCCAACTCACATGAGTATCTGCCGTATAGGTGGTGGGTGGTGTTCCCACGTGTGATGGTAGTATCCACGTCGATGATCTGGAATTTCATGCAGAGGTTGCCATGGCAGTGTTGTGTGGTATTGTGGTTGATGTTGTCCTGAAAGCTGGGTTGTTTGTTGTGAACAATGGCCTGTTTAAGGTTTGGCGGTTATTTGAAGGCAAGAAGTGGAGGTGTAGGGATGATTTTGGTGAGATGTTCGTTGTCGTCGATGACATGTTGAAGGCTGCAAAGAACATGGTGTAGTTTCTCTGCTCCGGGGAAGTACTGGACAATGAAGGGTACCCTATCAGTCGTGTCCTGCATCTGTCTTTTGAGCAGTTTTTCGCTGTGGCATGCAGAACTGATAATCAATGAGTTAAGCATTGTATCCCTTTCTTTTAAGCGCATCTTTCAGCATCTTTTGATGTCCATCACATTGCTCGTCGTCTGAGCAAATCCTGTGTATACGCAGAGTTTTTCGGTAGGGGATGGCTTCTTTAAGACTTTTAGGGCGGAAGCTAGAGAAGTGCAGCATCATTAAGTTATCCATAGGCTTGCAGTAGAGTGAGGTACTGAGGTGTCTGTGCTTAATGGAGATGCATGTGTCCAAGAATGAAACTGGTTTTGAAGAGTAGTCCATGGTAAGTCTGATGGTGGATGAAACTTGTTAATATTGTGAAGTTGTTTCAGCGATTCCTTGCTACATGATAGACAGACACAGGACATGACCGATAGACTACCCTTCCTCGTCCATTACTCCTCCAGAGTGGAAAACTATGCCATGTTCTTCACAGCCTTCAATATGTCATCGATGATGACAAACATCTCGCCAAGATCATCCCTACTCCTCCACTTCACGCCTTCAAACAATCACCAAAGCTTAACGGACCATCATTTGCAGCAAACTATTTGGCCGTCAGGACAACATTGACCATAACACCACACAACCCTGTCATTGGCAACCTCTGCAAGACATGCCAGATCATCGACATGGATACCACCACCGCACGTTGGAACACCTCCCACCGCATACATGGCAAATAATCATGTCACTCGGCCAATGTTGTCTACTTAACACGCTGCAGGCAAGGATGCCCGAGGCACGGTATACTGGCAAGACCATGCAGATGCTATGACAATGGATGAATGGACACTGTGCGAAAATCGCCAGACAGGAATGTTCCCTCCCATTCGGGGAACACTTCAGCAGTCAAGGACATTAAACCTCCGATCTTCGGGTAAGTGTCCTCCAAGGCCGCCTTCAAGATACACAACAGTGCAGTTCCATACCCATGAAGATGGCCTCAACTGTGCTCTTAGGTTCATGTCGCCCTACGTAAACCCCACCAGACTGTTCTTTACCTGTAAAATCTTTCTTACTGTCCTGTTTTGACACCATCATCTTGATAACTTGTTATAATCTCTCTACCGTAATGAGTTTGTACAGTTTTGGATTACTTGTTACTTTGATTAGACCCTCAGCATGTGACTGTTATACCTATTATGTTATTCTAGCCATTTGGTTTGTCTCTAGCACCACTTTATTTTTAATTTTTTGTAATTAATTGTAATTATCTCTCTGCCTCAATTCATCAGATTATAGGGCATCCCTTCGCTTGCTATTCAGATGTTGACACTTTATTCACACCATGTGACACTTTTGATCACCTACAGGGACTTATTATTCAGCCTGTCGACACTCCTCTCACACCATTTGTACGATCTTTTGATCTCTCTGCCTGTGTGTTTCTCTTCACTTCACCTGATAAAGGAGCAGTGCTCCAAAAGCTTGTGATTTCAAATAAACCTGTTGGACTATAATCTGGTGTCATGTGACTTCTGATCAAACAAGGACAGTATGTAATACACAGCAGCTTGCCTCCTGCACCCAGAACATCTCCGTAGAAATTTATTCTCCACTTCTGGCAGCAAAGGCATCGAGGCGGCAACATCTACCATATCCATCTCCAACACTTCAACACTTGAATCTTCAACGCTTGATAGAGAGGGAAAACCCAAGGGGCCCAGAACAGTCAGAAAAGCAGTCAAGGAGTAGGGCACATTTTACTCCCACACCATTTGAGATTTTTCACTTTTCACATTATCCACGTCCTTGTTCAGGATTGTCACACCTACCCAAACTTTATACATCACTGGATCTGATCTCACATGGACCATACCTCTTACCCAGCAGGGCCTACACCAAACCTCGTCCCAGGTCTCACTTAGCGGAGTCTGGCATCGGCATTCCTGATGCCGTTTCACTCTTCCACATCCAGGTCTGGGAAGATCAGACTTAACCTGGTGTGGAGTCTTCTCCCCATCAGCTATCCCTGTAGTTGCATGAGGGGTGGTCCTATAATCAAATAGGAACTGGGACAGTTTAGTATCTAGTGAAGCTGTAGGCTGTTTCTTTAAGCCTGCCTTCAAAGTTTGGACTGCTCTTTCTGCCAGACCATTGGATAATGGATTTTATGGAGCTGTCCTTATATGACGAATACCATTCAATTTTAGGAAATACTCAAACTCCCTTCTGATAAATGATGGCTCATTATCATGACCAACACTTGTAGGCATCCGTGTATTACAAAAGATGTGCGCAGTTCTTCTATCATCGTCAAACACGGAGACAAATGAACTCTATCCACATCCAACCATTTTTGACTGGACATCCGCAATGACTAAGAACATTGAGCCCATGAAAGGACCTGTATTGTCAACATGTAGCTGAATCCAGGGTTTACCCAGCCATTCCCATGAATGTGGGGAAGCTGCTGGCAGTAATTTTTGTCCTTGTTGGTACTTTGAGCACTGCCCCACCAATGCAGCTATGTCTGCATCCAGGCTGGGCCACCAGACATAACTTCTTGCCAACATCTTCATTTTGGAAACCCCTGGATGACCCTGATGGAGTTCACCCAGTAACTGGCGGCGACCTTTGCTCAGGAAAATCACTCTTGCTCCCTGTAATAATCTTCTATCTTCTGCTGTGATCTGGTCTCTCCAGGACCAATTTTGGTTTCAGTTCTGGTTGTGATGACCCTTTGGCTTCCCCCATCACCACCAGCTGTTTCAGTTTTGCCAGCACCAGATCTTTGTGTCCAAAGTCTGATATTGTCAGCTTCTGGAAGTGTGTCTAGAAAATTCTTCCAGTGGCGGCACAACCACCACTGGATTTGGCAGCGGGAGGTGGCTCAATGCATCGCCATCCCGGATGGTGTTCCACCTTTATAATTATATGCACTTGGTATTACAGACATCACAAGTCAATATGAGATCTTGCTTGGGATCATAGTATTACAGCACCTTAGAGGGTAATAACTGTTCCTTCACTTCCTTGAAGGCTATGGCTTGGCTACGTGATTATTTCCAAGGGTGACCCTGTATCAAAGAGTTGATGCAAAGATGCCAGGATGGAGGCCAGGTTATGTTTGAACCTTCTGTGATAATTCACCAGCCCGAGGAAAGCCCTAAGCTCTGATACAGACATTGGAGCCAGGGCACCTTTGTTTATCCTCACCTTATTTCCCAACGGATGTAACCCAATCTTGTCAACTCTGTAGCCCAAGTAGGTCACTTGGGGTATCTGGAACATGCATTTTCTTCCTTCGAAGGTGTGTGCCCACCTGGGAGAAACCTGTCCAAGTTCTCTGACTGCTCCATATTGGTCTTTACTGTCATTAGCACTTCTTCATCTAGATAAATGGTGATC